AATTTGGTGTTAAAATGCTCTTACTAACAATATAAAAGCTACTTTCACGTTTAAAGATCATTAAAGATTTTACAGCTAAGACATGTGAACTAGGACCTGAAGGTGGATGTTACAAAAATGACACAAAAAGGCCTTTTACTTGCTATAAATTGCATATTGAGTGAGGTGTTAAAATGCTCTTACCATTCACAAAGAGTCGATGCCAAACTACAGAGAAAAAAACAATCGAAAGAAGAATATGATGATGATTATATTTCATTACCTTCATTTTTGTGAGCATAAGTGCTCCATAAATACTGATTTACCTTTCAGTCAAGAAACATTAGTTTTTTTATTGGATCTAAATGTTTGCACAAACCTTTTTCAGAATTCTTTTAAACGATAAATGTGCATAAATAGCTTTCTCAGTCAAAAGTGAGACTAAAACCTGGATATTTCACTTAAAGGAGAAATAAAAAGGCTGAAAGTGCAGGGGAAAATATACCTGATCCAATTTTAATGAGGCCGTTGTGCTGAATGAAGATGGTGTCACATGTGAGGTTGCCGTGAATTATGGGAGGGTCACAGGAGTGCAGGTAACTGATGAGTGGAAGAAGTTGCATGCTTGTTAACAAATTTTCGTGTCTGAACACACACACAACCTTCAACACAAGCACACACAAACACAAATGTGTCACCTGAGGGCAGAGAGGATCTGCGTACACCAGCGTTTCCAGGCCTGAAATACAGTAATGTATCACATGAACACAAAAATCACAGCACTGCACAATAATAATCATGTACATCATATATTTAGACATCAGTCTGGGAATAAAAATGCTTATGAAAGCCTGACCTTGACATTCATGCTCTTGTGGTTTTTCTTGGTCTTTTTGAGGAACTGTTTCAAGCTGCCAGACGACATGTACTCTGTGATGAACACAACCTGTGAGGGATATAACAAGAAAAGCTATTTCCATATAATGGCCACTTCAGCTTTATACCAAAAAAAGAAGTTATTTTAGAAAAAAAATAATCTTAGACACTTCCCATATGTGACCCTGGACCACAAAACCAGTCATAGGGGTAAATTTTTTTGTAAAATTGAGATTTATACATCAATAAATAAGCTTTGTATTGATGTATGGTTTGTTAGGATAGGACAATATTTGGCCGAGAT